CAATTTCTCGTTCATAATACGTTATCAACACGAATAGTTCTAGCCACTGAATAAACCCTAGCCTTTTCTATCTTTGATCCAATCCAAAACCAAGGTATATAAATTGTCTTTGTGATTCGATTGATATCATACAAGTGTATGCTTGTTAATCGAATAACACAAATTATGCATATCGATTATTTTATTATTTTGTCACATATGTTTGCTTCACTACTGTTAATCATAATCGTCTTAGCAAATATACATCACCTAGTATTATTTTAATGTTATTGGTTGCAAGTATATGTAATTTGATTCAATCTGATTTATCGTTTTGTTTTATATATGAGGTTATTTGATTGATAGCATACACATGTATATTAATACTCACGACACATATGCATATTAATTTATGCATTCTTATCAAATATAAGCTTATGAATCTGTTTCCATATGCTTAATTATTAAAATCCGTCTAACAGTTTATAATCATCGCCACATGTTTCATTATTAGTTTATGATGCATGTTTGATTCTTCGTTCTTTGACCGTTTGAGCTAGTTATTGCTTTGATTGGCCATGCTTCTTATTGATATGTGTTCATGTATGATAATTGAATTAGAACTGGTTTTACCAATATGTGCTAATATTTAAATATTATCGATTGATCTGTGTTCATGTTTAATAATAACATCATAAATCATATTGAATCACATGTTTATTAGCACCACATCTAAAATTGTAATTTATAAAGTATGTTTATTAGAACTGAGAATATACATTTAAACATATAAACTAGTTCATCGATGCTTCCATGTTATTGCTTATTGTTTGTTTGATCCATTTCTAAATTCATAAGATGCTTTAGAACTGGTTCATAAAGTAAAACGGATTTCAATCGATTAAGGTTTTATATGGTTTAGCTATTATTAAATATTCGTTGACCTTAGTTATAATTTGAAAAAAATCGTTGAGTTTTGCCTTATGCTACTGTTTGTCTTATGCTAGTGTTTTATATGAATTGACTTTTGCACT